GAGAGAGAGAGAGAAAGAGAGAGAGAAAGAAAGAAAGTGAAAAGAGCCCAACCCCCTATGCTATATTCGGGTCTGCATAAACAGTTCTTGTAGGAAGACAGCAACACTTGATCGTCATGCTATTGCCTTCAGAGGAAGTCCAGCCCCTGGACTAGGTTTGCAGTGCAGAGAGGGGGACTGTTGTGCTTTGCTAGCAGCCACCTCGTAGGCTCCGCCAACAGGGGGCGCTGGAGGGAGATGGTGAGGCTGAAGGCGGGACTTCCTGTTTGCTTCTTATCTACTTCCTGCCTCTGAGCATCACCATGCCTACGCTTTGGAGGAGTGATGGTTTGTAAACTCAGCCGACAGAGACACCAGCCACCTCATAAGAGGTCTGGATCTCAGCCTTAGGGGGCCTTCCGCTGAGCTCAGTGGCAGCATAGCAGTACAGTCCCCATCACAGCTCTGAGTTTCAGCGTGTTGGCACCCTTTTTTCTCAAATTCTAAGTTTAATAATTCCCATTTTTTTCCTTCATTCGTTCAGCCTCGGGCTGGTTGCTACTTCCAGCAATTGCTACTTCCCTAATAATTTAGTGCCCTCTACCCCTCCCACTACACACGCCTTTTCAATTATTTATTTAACTTTATACCCAGTTCAGTTCTTTATATTAAACTTGCTATTTCAAACATTTTGGCCAGGATGCTACATTTTTGGGGGGGCTGGTTTAGGGGTGAGGAGATGGGGCAAACAGTGACAATGTCAGTGGCTTTGAAAAAGGCATTTTCCACCCTGCATTGCTGAGATCAGCTCATGGGGCTCTCACTGAAGTCCAACTGCCCAGAGTGTTTGCCATTCTTCAGACTATAATGAACCCTAGACTCACAGGTATTAATGAGGGAGATCTACAGTCTGGAACCCTGTGGCTATTTCTAGTGTACAGGTTATTAACAGTCATGAAAAGACAGGCAAATGAATTTTTTCAAGTAGTTGCCATCTGAAGAATACTTTCTGGTTTGCATTGACATTTTTTTAAAAAGTGAAAGCAAAAAACAAAAGAAATAATCCTTGTCTTTGTATTGCTTTACTCTTTTAATGTTCAGGGAACATAAGAGGAGTGGCACTTGGACTCTAGGCTAGGAGAAGGCAGAGGAAATACCTGTGTGCTTCTATGATTCTTTGTTAGGTGGGGGTGGGGGTGGGGAAGCTTTCAAGTTCTTATATGAGCAGTGACAGGTTTTTATGAATTGTTTTCTGGCAGGAGAGCCTGGATATAAACTGGGCTGTCCTGGTTGAAATAGTTGCTTGCCTTCTCAGATAGTGACAGCATTTTTCCCTGCCTTACTCACCTCCCTGAATGACTGGTGACTATGCTCCTGAATGACATATCTGAGCTTGCTCTCTTATCTGAGAGTAGGAAACTGAAAGGTGAGTGATGAAGCCACTTGCTGCTCTCTACTCTGCAGAAATTAAGGAGCCGGAGACAGTTTCTTGGACGCCCTGTGAATATCAGAAAGTATATTTTGGAGGAGTTAAAAGAAGACCAAGGGATATGGTGTTCACATTTGCTTCCATGGAACCCAACCAATCTTCCCTGGGAAACAGAAACAAACAGTGGCAAGAGATCTACCCTAAGTAAGAAAGAAGCTATTAAAGGTGAGAATTTTCTTAATCTTTCATCATGTTTTCCTCTTAGATTCCCAAAAAATTATTACTGAAGAGGATACAAATCTTATGCTTAGAAAGAGGATGCAAAAGGGGAAAAACAATCATTGCTGGATGTATCACATTTTGTTTTTCATTCTCTCCTTTTAGGGATTTATCTATAGTATCTGGTTTTCTTTGAATGGTACTCAGTACCCTGTATTGTTTTTGAAAGGTAGCTGTGGTTTGGAGGAATAAGTATTAAACTTATAGACAAAAAAAAGGGGGGGGGGAGAAAGTGAGGGAGTTCCAGATTTGCTTCTTAATATGTGATATTTGCAAGTTATTTAGCATCTTTTTCCTATCTAGAAAAGGCCTAATAATACTTCATTTTAGGTATGTTATGAAGATTAAATGGGACAATGTAAAGAAATATTTCTGGCATATAGAAAGCACTCATTAAATATTATATATGCATAGCTCTGTGTGTAAATATATTTTAAATTTGGGTAGATTAAGTGTTATCTATATGAATGATTAAATGCATTAACCAACTGAGCTACTTGGCCAGGGTGAAGGAATATTTTTATAAAAGGGTGGTTAGATATTACATTTTGAATTTCTACAACTGATACTGAGAGTCTGAAATTCATGAATTTTTCTCTCTAGACCTACCAGAAAATCTAGGTCCCAATAAGAGCTATGCTAGAAACAGGGTTGTAAGGGGTGGAGGGAAGAATGGGGAACAAAGGGTAGGGACTTCCTCTTACTAATTCCACCTTTACATCAGCAGGTCTTCAGTTCCATTTCCCTTTCTCCTGGGGTAGAGGTGGAGCTAGGTCCTGACTGTAGCATGAGCAGCTAGTTTGTAGGGTCAGTTATAGACCTCCTTTAGCAACCCAAGGGTAAGAAGTTCCTAGGCAGGTCTTGACTGAGGATATTTGCCTAGAGAAGAAATATATTTTGCCACCACTTTGGAGTTGGAGTTGTTGTTCCTGGGAACACATTCAGGGTTAGTTTGTAATCGAAGGCATTTTGTTCTGTCCAAGGATTCCAACCTCCTCTTCCTTCCCTGGGCCCAAACTCTATTGATCTCCCAGACCATGAAGATGATTTGGTGGAAGAAGAAACTCTGCAGGCAGCATTACCTGTGGGCCCTGGGCTGCTATTTGCTGCTGGCCATTGTTGCTCTGAGATTCTCTCTCAGATTGAAATGTGACTTTGATTCCCTGGATCTGGAGTCCAAGCACTGTAGGGACATCTTGTACAAGTCCCTGCAGTTGACAGCAAGGAGATCCATCAACTGTTCTAGAATCATCCAAGGGGACAAGGAAGCAGTGATTGAGGCTCTCCTGGACAGGCTGGAGGTCAAGAAGAAGCGGGAGCCTTTCACAGACACTGACTACATCAACATGACCAGAGACTGTGAGTACTTTAAGGCCAAAAGGAAGTTCATACAGTACCCACTCAGCAAAGAGGAGTTAGACTTCCCTATTGCATACTCTATGGTGGTCCATGAGAAGATTGAAAACTTTGAAAGGCTGCTGAGAGCTGTGTATGCCCCTCAGAACATATACTGTGTCCACGTGGATCAGAAGTCCCCAGACACTTTCAAAGAGGCAGTCGGGGCAATTATTTCATGCTTCCCAAATGTCTTTATAGCCAGTAAGTTGGTTCGGGTGGTTTATGCCTCCTGGTCCAGGGTGCAGGCGGACCTGAACTGTATGGAAGACTTGCTCCAGAGCTCAGTGCCCTGGAAATACTTGCTGAATACATGCGGGACAGACTTTCCCATAAAGACCAATGCCGAGATGGTCCTGGCCCTCAAGATGTTGAATGGGAAGAACAGTATGGAGTCTGAGATACCTACTGAGTACAAAAGATCTCGCTGGCAATATCACTATGAGGTAACAGACACAATACACATAACTAACAAGAAGAAGGACCCTCCCCCTAATAATTTACCTATGTTCGTAGGGAATGCCTACATTGTGGCTTCTCGAGGCTTTGTCCAGCAGGTCTTTGAGAACCCCAAAGCCCGGCAACTGATTGAGTGGGTGAAAGACACCTATAGCCCCGATGAACACCTCTGGGCCACGCTTCAGCGTGCCCCATGGATGCCTGGCTCTGTTCCCTACCACCCCAAGTTTCACATGTCAGACATGGCTGCCATTGCCAGGCTGGTAAAATGGCAGGGCCATGAAGGAGACATCAGCATGGGGGCACCTTATGCGCCTTGCTCTGGAACCCATCAGCGGTCTGTCTGTATTTATGGCGTTGGGGACCTTCACTGGATTCTTCAGAACCATCACCTGTTGGCCAACAAGTTCGACCCAAAGGTGGATGATAATGTTCTTCAGTGCTTAGAAGAATACTTACGGTATAAGGCCATCAACAGACTGCACTCTGAGATACACTGAGAGAACTGCTACCTCAGATTGAAATGTGGGGCAAGGACATCTGCAAACATGCCCAGACTGTGCTGGGACAGTGTGGGGTGGGAGACCAGGTCTCTGGAATCCACGGCATCCCACAGGGTTAGGGGGCTGCTATTGGAGTGTGGGTAAGTAGATCTGTTGCCTTGCAAATTGCTATCCCGGATGAACACTGACTTAGCTCACCCCACTCCCAGTAGCCCCTCCACTGACTTTCTCACAGAGTGAGCAGAAGAACTAGTTATTTGGGAGAGCCAGGGAGGGAAGTGTGACAGGGGACCCTGGACTTTAGTTGAATGCTTGGTGTCCAGCTTTTCCATTCTGTGGAGATGCCATTCCTAATAATTCTAGGCTTGGTAGTGGGAAGGGGGAGTTTGATGGAAATAGGGCCTTCTCATGTACGATTAACTTAAAAATAAATAGCTCCTAATTCAAACCTCTACCTCCGCTTTCTGTTTGGGAAGCCAGAAATAAGACAAAAGTGTGATACTTTTTTTCATTACTATTGATGGCATTTAAAATCCCTCGTGGCTGGCCAGAGACTCCCCATTATTCCAAAATGATCATGGCAGGCTGTATAAATAGCATATTCAAAAAAATATAAAGGTACAGAGCTGATGCTTTCATTGTTGAAAACCCTCCTCATGTTGTTTACATTGCCAGATTTGTGACTCTTCTGTATGGGAAAAGGCAGAGTGATTTAACCAATCTGACCACCATATCTTTATGGGAAAATTACAACCCTAATTTAGCCGGCTTCACAGCCAAAGCTTAACGTTCCATAACAAAGATAATAGCTAGTTTAGGTAAGTCCACCATATAATTTATTGTCTAAACTGGAACACTTTTACAGGAGGGGAGGGTGGCTGTACTATTACAATTATGTGGGGAAACAAAAATAAACAAGGACTGTTTAGCTAAACCAGGAAATCGGGTTATTTCACATTTAGGCCTTTTGAGTGAAAACTCTTAAGTATGTGAATGGAAGAGTCACTATTTGTGGTTCTTTGGCTTATACATTTCCTCGTGGGGAGACAATTTTGTGTGTGTGTATTTGCCTCCACTCCCTGTAAATGCTACCCAGTGAAACAATGATCTCTGAGGCTCCAGAGATAATTGTCATAGCATTATGGAAGGCTATTGGCTATTGGTAATACTCTTCTGTGATGGACCGGGGAGACTACAGAAAAAGAGGCATATCTTTTATATAGTACAGTTCATCTTCTGCATATAATATGCTTTGGAAAAATGATTTAAATACAAATTAATTTGTGTAATTTGAATGATGTTCCCATTAATATGTCATGATATTGTTTCGTCATTTCTTATTATGACTCAATCAAGTGTTTCTCTCATTATCAATGTTCCCTGTAACCCATGTACTCTGACGTAGTTATCACTGTGTCTGACAGTGAATTTTCTATTTATAGTGACTGCTTTTGGTAAAGTTGTACTCCTTTGGTAATGGGCGCTGCCACTACCAACTTACCTGCATCATACTATTGAGTCCTCTTCACCTTGCCCCCAGCCCTGCCTCCGAGATGCCTGACGGATAGTCAAGGGCTCAGCAGATGAGTCTGTGTAAGGCCTCTTCCTGGCAGGGGAGCTCACAGACACCTTCACTGCTGTGGGAAGTGGGCAGAAAAGCTTCCCAGAATGCACGCATTCTGAGGAAAGAACTTGGGTCCTTGGCCTCATACTTGACTTCCTCTGTATATTTTCATGTGAAATAAATTATCTTTTTTATACAAACAAACTAAATTGTGAACTTGTCATTTGAGGGGAAGAAATTTCTGGAATTTTCCAAGTACTGACATCCCCCCCACCCCCCCTTGAAATACATTCAAGTGCATAGAAAGTGCTCTTTATTTAATAACACAAGGTCTTCCTATCTGAAGGGTCCAATTTCTCCCTCATTTGTGTAGTTTATTTTTAGAAATCATACAATTAAGTGAACACATTTGTTGATTTTTTTCTTCCCTCTAAGTCATATTTGTTTCTTTAACCTCTCTCTGGAAAGGAAAAATCTTATAAATGAATGAGCAACTAGGCATGTATTACTTCTCAAGGTTTGAATTACTTCTTTAGTTTTGATTTGTGGACTATTGGTAAATTCTGTTTTAATAACTATTTTGATATACAGCCTGCCTATTATAATCTTTGTGCTCTTGATTGAGTGAATTATTTTAAGGAAGAAAAGACAGTTAATCTTGTTTAGGAACAGATGATGTAACTTATTTGGAGGAGACTATGTATTTGGATTAAAAATGGAAAGAACTGCCCTACCTGGTTTGAGTGGATAGAGCATCGGCCTACAGACTGAAGGGTCCCAGGTTTGATTCCAGTCAAGGACACATGCCCCGGTTGTGGGCTCAATCCCCAGTAGGGGCCGTGCAGGGGTTAGCCCATCAGTGATTTTCTCTCATCATTAATGTTTCTCTTTCTCTCTCTCTCTCTCTCTCTTTCTCTCTCTCTCCCTCTCCTCTCCTCTCTGAAATCAATAAAAAATGTATTTTTTAAAAATGGAAAGAACCATTAAATACATTATATGGCTTAAGTACCTTATTGAACTGAAGATTTATTCTTCCACTTAGTGAATCTTTATTCATTCCACAACTATTAACTAAGTTCTTACTAGGCATTGTCCTTGACCCTGGGGATATATAGCAATCAACAAAGAAGACAAACATTTCCACTCTCATGTTCTTCACATACTAGCTTGAAATTGACTATAAACAAATTGTGTGTGTGTGTGTGTGTGTGTGTGTGTGTGTGTGTGTAGACAAGTGCTGCAGCTAAAGAGAAATTGAAGGAAGTGCTAGAAACCTTAAGAGAGCGGGGTGGGGAGGGAGGATGCTTAAATTTTTAAATAGTGTGGTTAGGGATGCCATTAATGAAACGGTGACATTTGAGTAAAGATCTGAAGGCGATGAAGGAATGATCCATGAGGGCCCATGGGGGGAGAGCATTCTAGGCCAAGAGAAGAGACTTGGCAAGGCCCTGAAGCAGGAACACACCTGCCATGTTTGAGGAATAGCAAGGAAGCCAGTGTACACAGAGCAGAGGAAAAGGAGGGGGCAGGGGGCGGGGGAAGAAGAGTGCAGAGCACAGGGGAGCAGGGCTGTTGTGAAGGCCTCTGTAACCCATTACATGGCCTTCATCTTGTCCGAGTGCCTTAAGCCACTGGAAGGCTTTGAACAGGGGACTGGCATGAACTGATTAACATTTTCATGCTGCATTGAGAACAGACTGATGGGGAGGTGATGGTGGATGCAGGGAGGCCAGTTAGGAGGCTGTGGCAATAATCATGACACTAGCCATAGCAGCTTATATCAGGGTAGCACAGCAGCAGTAGAAAGGGAGGTGGTTAGATCCTGGAAATGTTTTGGAGGTTCAATTTGAGGATTTGCTAACAGATTGAGTTTATTTATGAGAGTCAAGAATGACTCCAAATGTTTTGTCTTGATGGTCAGTTGGAAGGATATTTACTATTAACCAAGACAGGAAAACTGTGAAAGTAGATTTTTAGGGGAAGATCAGGAGTTTGATTCCAAACATATAAAAATGGAGATGCCTGCCCTAGCCGGTTTGGCTCAGTGAATAGAGCGTCAGCCTGTGGACTGGAGGGTCCCGGGTTTGATTCCGGTAAAGGGCATGTACCTTGGTTACGGGCACATCCCCAGTAGGGGGTGTGCAGGAGGCAGCTGATCAATGTTTCTAACTCTCTATCCCTCTTCCTTCCTCTCTGTAAAAAATCAATAAAATATATTTTTTAAAAAATGGAGATGCCTATTAGATCTCTGAATAGTAGAGATGTGGAGGAGACAAATACAACAGGAATCTGAGGCCAGGAGAGAACTGAAGATGTTTAGCTGGTGTTCATTAGCTTATGAATAGTGTAAAGCCATGAAATTGGAGAATTCCAACGGAGTGGACAGCCATATGCATTCTGGGGCTCTGCAAAACACAGAGCCACCGAGATAAGGAGGAACTACCAAGAGAAAGTTGGAAAGGAGCAGCAGGGGTGGTAGAAGGGAAATGACGTAGTTAGTGTTCTGGAAGCCTGGATGAGAAAGTGTTTCAGGAAAGAGGTTGATGACTGTGCCTAAAGCTGCTGAAAGTCACTGAAGATGAGTGTAACCCAAGAACCAGCTCAGAATCATATCTGGTTCTAACAAGATACCAGGTTGCCTTTCTGAGGTGGCAGACGGCAGACCAAAACCACAAGTCAAGCAGCCAAAGCATAGGCAGCGGAGAAAACTTTGATTTCCAGCTGCACCCAGAACCAAATTCGCGTACCTCCCCCCCCCCCCCCCCCCCCCCCAAATGGAACCAAAGGACTGAGACTTAACCGGACTTGAACCCTGGAATCTTCCAGAAGTGCAGGGTCAGTTGTCTAGGAAGACCCAGTATTGAAGCCCTTCCCTTATCTTACGGTAAATGACCAAGGTCTGAAGTCCCCCAACCAAAACCTACATGGCCAGCGCTTCCGTATATCAGCCTGTTTGCCCTAACCCCTAACCTTCAATCTCTGCTATTAAACATTCTTGACTAAAAGCCAGCAGGGACTTTTGGGTTTTCAGCGATAGCTTCCTGTTCTTGCTTGGCACCCTGCAAATAAAACGGCTTTAGTTTCTCCATTGCATACCTCGGTGTACAGTGTTTGGCTTTGCTACGCATAGGGCGGCATACCCTCTTTTGGGTCAGTAACAGGATGAAGTGACTACTGAATTTAACAATGTGAGGTGATTTTTTTAAAAAAAAAATATATTTTATTGATTTTTTACAGAGAGGAAGGGAGAGGGATAGATAGTTAGAAACATCAATGAGAGAGAAACATCGATCAGCTGCCTCCTGCACACTCCCCACTGGGGATGTGCCCGCAACCAAGGTACATGCCCTTGACCGGAGTCGAACCTGGGACCCTTGAGTCCGCTCTATCCACTGAGCCAAACCGGTTAGGGCTGTGAGGTGATTTTGATAAGAGCAGTTCTTGTGGAGTATGGAGATAAGAACTTGGTTGAAACCCCCTGGCAATGGGCAAGGAGACGCCCGACCAGTGGTTTTGCTCTTATATGGTCAGAGCAAAGCAGACGTAATCATTGGTTCATCCTAGCTTGATGCCTGTGTTGGTGGCCAGAGCTATTTCACACATGGGGCACATTAAAAACACACCAAAAAACTTAACTTGCCCTAGCCGGCTTGGCTCAGTGGATAGAGTGTCAGCCTGCGGACTGAAGGGTCCCAGGTTCGATTCTGGCCAAGTGCACATGCCTGAGTTGCAGGCTCAAGCTCCAGTAGGGGGCGTGCAGGAGGCAGCCGATCGATGATTCTCTCCCATCATTGAGGTTTCTATCTCTCTCTCTCATTCTCCTTTCCTCTCTGAAATCAATAAATAAATATGTTAAAAAAAACACAAAACTTAACTGAGTTTGAGGAAGAAAGATGTAAGTTGTTTTAAAAGAATTTACAGAGGCTATAGATAAAAGGGTCAGGAGAAGGGGAAGTTGGGGCTAGTTCTGGAATAGATGCCTAGTCCCTAAAGATGTCTGATAGACTCCTCCATTTATATAAATTTTTTTGTTATTAATTTCAGAGAGGAGAGGGAGATAGAAACATTAATGATGAGGGAGAATCATTGATGGGCTGCCTCCAGCACTCCCCCTACTGGCGATTGAGCCCACAACCCGGGCATGTGCCCTTGACTGGAATCAAACCTGAGACCCTTCAGTCTGTAGGCCGATGCTCTATCCACTGAGCAAAACCAGCCAGGGCAGACTCCTCCATTTTTATATGCTTGAAATAAAATTCCTCATCTTCCCCTAAAAACCCACTTCTACAGGCTTCCTATCTTGTTTGAATTGCCTATGAGCACCCGCAAGTTCATGGGGGTGGTCAGCTGTTCTGTCTACAAACCACAGAAATGATTCAGTTCCAACATCCACTCAGGCATGTAAGCAGTCTGGTTGGATTTGGCCTGCAGCTGTTAACTTTTGTCTCCTCCTTCTACTCTCCGGCCAGCTGTAATTTAATTTAGGACATCTCAGAATTTTCTCCTTGTCAAGTTCTATGTTCACTTTTGTTTATGGCTCCTTAAACTCAACATTATGCATTTCATCTATGTTGTTGTGTCATAGTAGTTCAATGAGTATCACTACTGTGTAATATCATAATTTATTCATTGTATTATTGATGATGGCTTTTTCTATTAGGAATTGTGCTCCTATTATGAACCTTCTTGAACATGTATTAGAGAGAACATGTGTATACACTGCAGTTGGGTATGTATCTAGGAGTGAAGTTGCTGGGCTGTCAGATGCACTTATGTTCACTTAGGTGAATGCTCATACAGTTTTACAAGATCTGCCAACTTAACTCCCACTGGCAAGGTGTGAAAGTTCATTTACTCCACTTCTTTGCTAATATTACTTTGTCATTTTAACTATTCTGCTGAGTGGCGGTGATTGTAGTTTATTTATAAGTTTGCTTTTAAAAAATATTTATTAATTTATTTTTAGAAAAGGAAAGAGAAATAAAACACATTGATTTGTTGTCCCACCCATCCATGCATTCACTGTTGATTCTATATGTGTCCTGACAGGGAATTGAACCTGCAACCTTGGTGAATCAGGATGATGCTCTCACCAATTGAGCTTCCTGGCCAGGGCTGTGATTGTGGTTTTAATTTGCATTTCCCTGAGGACTAATGATGCTGAGTAGTTTCATATGCTTATCAGTGAATTGGAAACTCTGGAAGTTCTCTTTTGATTACTTTCTTTTGTTCAGTGAAATAAAGAGCAAGATGATTTTATGAAATGAGGATGGGGCAGGAGATATTGGAGGTTTGGAAAAAGAAAAAGGTGTAACATAATTGTTTCAGATTGGAAACTGGAATAAAAATTAGACCAAGGGGGAAAAAATGTCAGGCAGCATTAAGGACCCATTGACTTTAGGGAAAGTCAGTTTAAAAATCAGCCGCACATCCACATTCAGCTGCAAGAATTCGAGCATAGTGTAGGCAGAGGATTTACCCAGATTTGTGATTTACCCAAGTGAGTATGAGAGAGGCAAAGGAGTGGAGATTATGTACAGGGCAGTGATCATAATGGCCATGGAATTTAATCCGGGTAAGGTGGGAGGGGAGGGGATGACGATGGGATAACATAGGGTTATAGTGGAGTGTCCTGTCCAGGATGTGTTGGGATTGCTTTAAAGTGAGTGTGTAGTTCTAGTTTAAGGAGTCTATTAAAGTTTACAGAAACAGTGACATTTAAACTGGGCCATGGAGTTCACCAAATAACAAAAGTGATAAAGGGTGTTCCACA